CCCTTTTGATAGGAGCATATTTATGCGACTTTGTTATCTTATTTCTTTGCATTTACTTAGTTAATTTCCATTTATTATAGTGATTTAGTTTATTTTTGTATTATTGTAGGTTCAATTAGTGAAGATGACAATAAATGGCTAAAAGGAGCAATTTGGAGCAGTTTTGGATCTGGAATGGATAGCATGCAAGGAGAACAAGTAGGATGGACATTTTTTAGGTTTAAAAGGTGTTTAACATGTGTTAAACATGTGCTTAAGATATGGAGAAATCAGAATTGAAGCTTGGAAGACAAGGAAAGGCATTATCTTATCCAATCTTATCCAATCTTATCCAGTCTTATCTTATCTTATCCCATATTATCCAAACATTATCCTATTTAATCCAACATTATCTAAACTTATCTCTAGCTGCAAAAGGAGTCCTTATCCTATTCTAAATCCTTCCCATCTGAATTTAGGAGTCCTAATCCATCTAAACACATCAATCATTTTACTCCTTAGTTTCAGCCGCACCCTTGCCCTATAAATTGTATTGTGCCGCAGCATTCAAGGTTGTGCCGCATGTTTTAGGATCATTCAAAGAAGAAATCAAGTGTGCTATGACCTGCAATTAGGAAAATGAAAGCTTGTGTCGTGCACAGATACACCCAAGTCTCGTGTCGCAAATTGCAATCAAGCCTTGGAGATTTCCAGAGTTCTTTCTATCCTTTCTTAGTTTCAATGTTTATTTTATATTGCTTTTCAAATACAATGAACATGAGCAGCTAAGTTTCGTTTTAGCTAGAGGTGAATTCGAAGCCATGGACATGTTTTATATAAATTGATTTCCTCCAGTTATTGTTTCGTAAAGCATGAATGCGATTTACTTATCTATTTTATAGAGAACTTATTCTTGTATGTTTATTAAGGAGGCCTACTTAGTATGCATGCAGGGATTTGATGCTAGAGTATAAGGGAATTTCACCTAATCGTTATGAACTTATATTCACAAGTAGTAAAAGTCACTAGTCATGATTGCGTTAAGTAAATTCTTGGCAGGAGTATCATGTTTTTCATAGTTATGAATGCCTTGTCAATGCTTATGATTTTCATAGAACTTAATGATCTTTAATATGTATCTCTATCATGTTGTTCATATATGGAACTTGATAAGAATAATTTGATTGCGTCGCTGAGTCCAATTCAATGAAATTAGGAAAATCTGAGAGTTAATTAGTGTTGTTCACGATAATTTGGGGCATTGTCATTCATGGTTTATAGGAATAATAACTGGAAATCGATTTGTATGCATATGGTTTATGTGTGGAGAAGAATCCTCTAACTAGCCTTTCACCCAATTTTCATTCACAATTTACTTTGTTTGATGCAATTTACTTTTGTTTCTTAAAATTCATCCAAAAATCCCCATATCATTGTTTTAGTGTTTGTTAGTCAGTTTTTAGGGTTTTTGTGTCAAAATTGTGTTGATTAGCATCCCTTCTGGATAGAACGATTCCTATTTGCTCATACTACAATTACATTAAAAGGGTTTAGTTTGTATGTTGGTTTCTACCACATCATCTTTCTAGTGGCTCATGCTGCACGGGTTTTTCGGTGGCGTCATGAACATAATATGTACGTGTTTTAGAATTGATCATCGTGTTTGGCTCATATTTATCAACTGCATCATAATCGTACTCATCTTCCACAATCATGTTGTGAAGAATGATGCACGTCATCATGATGGATCGAAGCGACTTTACATCAAACAATCTGGCAGCACCCCTAACGATCACCTAGCGAGCTTAGAGGATACCAAAACAACGCTCCACATCTTTCCTGCACCCCTCTTAACAGCTTGCAAAGTGTTTATCCTTTGCACTTCGCGAATGTGACACTGTTTTGACAAATGTTGACCACCTTGGGTAAATGCCGTCTGCTAGGAAGTATGGCCCGTCGTACGTACATCCGTTGACACAGTACGTGACTTTTTGTGCCTTTCCTTGCAGGACATCGTTGAACACTAGGGATTGGGTAAGGACGTTAAGGTCATTTTGAGCTCCCAGAACCTTGAAAATGCCAAAGCCATGTATCAAAATATGCCACCGCCTCCAAAATGATACTTTTTGCTTATTTGTTGTCCCCATAAGCGCCTTGCCATGCACTTAGACAATTTTTCCACGTCTAGTGCATACAATTGATGCTTTCAATCATCCCAAGAAAACCTCGCATCTCGCCCTTCTTCAGAAGCCTTTACAAGTCCATGTCAGTAGGTTTCCTGAGGTACTCTGCGGTGTAGATAGATTCAATTGCTCCGCAAAACCTCATCCAGGAGTCAAGAATGGTTGATTTCCCCATCCTCGTTATCTCATCCACTTGGTCTGCAGATACTCCATATGCAAGCATCCGCAAGGCAGCAGTAATTTTTTGCTGAGGAATGAGACCCATAACAACAAAAACATCATTCTTTTGCACAAAGTAAGAATCATCGTCCAAGAGTTCCGTACCTCGTCATTGCCTGCTTCTATCAAGGTTTTCGGAATGGCTGGGCCTGCAAATCTGACCTACAGCTTGGATGACTTGACAGGAATGTGAGGCTCTGCCCATTCTTGCTTCGTCATCTCTCCTTCTACGCTCCTCATCCTCTTCCCTCTCATTTTGGGCCACCTGAATATTGAACATTCATTTTGATTGGTTAAACAATTCTTCCTCTTACTGATCAATTTCCCACACACATCCTTGAAGAAGAAGACTGTAAGATCCCACATCGCCCAGGGGTAAGGATCCTGTAAGCCTTATATGTATATTAGCATCTATACCTAGCACGAGGCTTTTTGAGAGCTCACTGGCTTCGAGTTCCATAGGAACTCCGAAGTTAAGCAAGTTCGTGAAAGCAATCCCAGGATGGGTAACCCACTGAGAAGTTCTCATGTGAGTTCTTAGAAACAAAACCGTAAGGGCGTGGTCGAGGCCTAAAGCGGACAATATCGTGCTACGGTGGAGTCGAACCCGGGATGTGGTGGGGGTCCAGGCCGGGATGTGACAAAGACATTGTAAAAATGAAGCAGAAACTATGAATACTGATAGAGATTTTGGTGAAGAAGGAAGCAGAAACTATGAATAATGATAGAGATTTTGGTGAAGAATGAAGCAGAAATTATGAATAATGATAGAGATCTTGAGAAAATTGGTGTGAGATTTGTGAGGATGGATGGTGGATTATATGGAGGATTCAGAAAGGATTAGGTTGTAGATAATGCCACGTGGCATGCTGTCATTCGTTAAAAATATGATGGAAATCTATCCTCAAAGATTGTAAACAGATTATGATACGTGGCGCGATATGATTGGTTAATAATCGTATCAGAAATCCATCATCAATAATTGTATTTTCAGATAATGATACGTGGCGTAATGAGTACGATTAAAAATCTTATCAGAAATCTATCACCAATAATTATCTTTTCGGATTTTATGACATGTGAAGCAACGAAAACGATTAAAAATCTTATCTAAAATTACAAATAAAATCATTTTGTATTATCTTATAATTTTTCGGATAATGACACGTAACGCAACGAGAACGATTAAAAATCTTATCTGAAATTAAAAATAAAATTATTTTGTATTATTTTATAAATTAAAAAATAATAATATTTTATTACCTATTACTAGGATTATTGAAATGCAATAGTGGAAATGTAAAAGGAAATTATTGTTTATTAAAAGTAATTACTGTTCATTTAGTAGATGGCATAATGTATTGGCTGGGGTTCAACGTTGGACTGCTCTAAGGTAAAGAGATCGTCGATCACGCCAAGGAAGTAGAAAAACTTGATTTGATGGCTGCTTGATATTTTATGCTAAAGCAAGTACAGATACATTTGCCAAGACATTTAAATCATTACTAAATTGTGCGCAAATTGGAAAATTCAGCAGGTGGGTGTGTCCTGTTTTGACTAATGATAGAGATCATGAGAAAATTGGTGTAAGATTTGACTAATGATAGAGATCTTGAGAAAATTGGTGTGAGAAAATTAGTGTGTCCTGTTTTGACTAATGATAGAGATTTTGGTGAAGAATGAAGTATAAATTATGAATAATGATAGAGATCTTGAGAAAATTGGTGTGAGATTTGTGAGGATGGATGGTGGATTATATGGAGGATTCAGAAAGGATTAGGTTGTAGATAATGCCACGTGACATGTTGTCATTCGTTAAAAATATGATGGAAATCTATCCTCAAAGATTGTAAACAGATTATGATACGTGGCGCGACGCGATTGATTAATAATCGTATCAGAAATCCATCACCAATAATTGTATTTTCGGATAATGACACGTGGCGTAATGAGTACGATTAAAAATCTTATCGAAAATCTATCACCAATAATTATCTTTTCGGATTTTATGACACGTCAAACAACAGAAACGATTAAAAATCTTATCTGAAATTACAAATAAAATTATTTTGTATTATCTTATAATTTTTCGGATAATGACACGTAACGCAACGAGAACGATTAAAAATCTTATCCGAAATTACAAATAAAATTATTTTGTATTATTTTATAAATTAAAAAAATAATAATATTTTATTGCCTATTACTAAGACTATTGAAATGCAATGGTGGAGATGTAAAATGAAATTATTGTTTATTAAGGATAGTTACTGTTCACTAAGTAGATGACATAATGTATTGGCTGGGGTTCGCACGTTGGACTGCTCTAAGGTAAAGGGATCGTCGATCACGCCAAGGAAGTAGAAAAACTTGATTTGATGGCTGCTTGATATTTTATGCTAAAGCAAGTACAGATACATTTGCCAAGACATTTAAATCATTACTAAATTGTGCGCAAATTGGAAAATTCAGCAGGTGGGTGTGTCCTGTTTTGACTGTACAACCTGGTCAGCAAAACAAGGCAGCCATCAATTTTCTATGCTCAGCTACTTAGCACAGCAGACTTCTTTCCTCTTATATTTGGTTTTTTTTTCTTCACCTTCTCTTCTGCTTTCAATCATGGAGTTCTGCATGCAACTCTCTCTGGTTTTAGTTCTTTCTGTGTTTGTTGTTCCAGCAGCTGTGCTGTCAGATTCCTCTCTGAGCTCAAATGGGGTCTCAGAAATCCCAAAGAAGCTGCTCAATCGTGCCCAGAGACCCCAGGTGTTTGATTGGATGGTGGGAATCAGGAGGAAAATACATGAAAACCCAGAACTGGGTTATGAGGAATTTGAGACCAGTGAGCTGATCAGAGCAGAATTGGATAAAATGGGTATTAAATATAAGCACCCAATTGGGGTTACTGGTGTTGTAGGCTTCATTGGCACCCGAAAACCGCCTTTCGTCGCAATCAGAGCTGATATGGATGCTCTGGCTATGCAGGTTTGGCTATGCAAATTCTGTAGGTAGGTAGAGTTTTTGTTGTAGATGTACGAATTAGTTTGTAATTTGATAGATGGGATTTGGTATTTATAGGAAATGGTGGAGTGGGAGCACAAGAGTAAAAATGCAGGGAAAATGCATGCTTGCGGGCACGATGCTCATGTTGCAATGCTTCTTGGTGCTGCAAAGATCCTTAAAGACCATGAGAAAGATTTGCAGGTTTGTTTCTTTGATCTTACTTTTCATTCATATTATTGTTGTTTACTAGTTACTACTGCACTCCTTTCTGTAATTGGTAACAAATGAACAGGTTTTTGATGTCTGTGGTGTATGATCTGAGTATGGCATATATGAGAATTCGTTTGCGGGACTAGTCAAATCGTTTGTCCCCACATTTCCGTTTTCATGTTTGGTTTCGTAGCTGGAAAGCATAATGTGGCTTTTATGATTCTCATCAGATTGTAACCTTTTTGTGTTGTTGTTTCAACATCAACAGGGAACAGTTGTTCTTGTATTTCAACCAGCGGAGGAAGGAGGAGCAGGGGCTAAGAAAATGATAGCTGGTGGAGCGTTAGAGAATGTTAGTGCTATTTTTGGGTTGCATGTTGCTAACCACATACCTGTTGCTGAAGTGGCCTCCAGACCTGGTCCTTTTTTTGCTGGGAGTGGCTTCTTTGAAGCGACAATAAGTGGAAAAGGCGGTCATGCAGCCCTTCCTCACCATGCTGTTGACCCGATACTGGCAGCTTCTAATGTGATTGTCAGCTTGCAACATCTTGTTTCGCGTGAAGCTGATCCACTCGACTCGCAGGTAAAACCCCTCATTTTTTTTCTTTCCGAAGTTGTGACCTTTTTGGCGCATGCTTTGAGCCCATTTAGAATAATGCACTCAAATCTTATTACAATCGGTAGATTCCTTGTTTGGTTTTTGTACTTGGGTTATTTACACTTCTCTTCTCACTGAAAATCTACGCTCACCAATTTGAAATGTAAAGGGCATCCCTTGCTGCTCGTTGCTTGCTTGTGTTAAACAATGATAGTTTATTGGGGAGTTTTAGATCCATTCCTTTATCAAATGACTACAGCACTACTAAGTGCAGTGGCGTTCTGCATTTTCGTTGTCTAATATGGTGGCTGCCTGATGGTTACCTACAACTGCATTGCTTTCCAGCATTTGGTTGTCTAGAAATAAAGTAGCTTGAAGTAGATTGAAATCACAGAGTTGCCAGAAATGAGATTAATTAGAGAGAAAATTTTCATTTTTATTTTCAGAGACGAGAGGCTATGATAGGTGACATTAATATTTAATTCCTTTCTGATGAGGCAAGCGTATTATCATAAGTTATCGAACTTCTCTGGAAGAAAATTGAAGGACCATATACACTAATTTCATCTGAATATAACAAATACACAAATGAAATATCAACTCTGATCTTATCAATGACTCAGATTACTGTCAATTTTCAAGTATTTTGTTTACCATTTTCTTATTTATGCTCCACCATTCCTATCCTTTGAAGAGTTTAGGATAACTTACTACTTATGTTAGAACTTAGTGCATTTGCAGAAAATTTTGGCTGGCTTAATTCATGTTTAGTAAAGTTGTTTTTTAAGTCCTCTCGTCAACTAAGTTGAAAGCATATATTTTCAGGTAGTCACCGTTGGAAAGTTTCAAGGAGGTGATGCATTCAATGTTATTCCAGATTCTGTCAAAATAGGTGGTACTTTCCGTGCATTTACAATGAAAAGCCTAATGCAACTCAAGCAGCGGATTAAGCAGGTAAAACGGTTAAATTGCTCATATAATATGGATGTTATGAAAAAAATATAAGTTAAAAGGCTGATGTGCTTAATTTTTATATATTGATAATCTTTCGAGAGCAATTTAGTTCATCGCTGCCATTTGAGCATTCTGTTTGAACTTACTTTGGCAACAAAAGGCTGATGTGCTTCTTTTACCAGGTTATAACAGGACAAGCATCTGTACATAGGTGCATCGCAACTGTCAATTTCTTTGAAGATGAGAAACCTATTTCCCCCCCAACCATAAACCATAACGACTTACATGAACACTTCCGAAATGTAGCTGGAGATATGCTTGGCTTCCAAAAGGTCAAAGACCATGAACCGTTGATGGGATCCGAGGATTTTGCATATTACCAAGAGGCAATACCTGGATACTTTTTCTTGCTTGGAATGGCAGATGACGCACTTGGACCCCTGCCTACACCTCATTCACCACACTTCCGAATCAATGAAGATGCACTTCCTTTTGGTGCTGCGCTCCATGCTGCTTTCGCTGTTAGGTATTTGCTCGAGTTTCCACAGGAAGTTCCTTCGCCAGCGCAAGAACACCACGATGAATTATAACAAGCTCATTGATTAATTTGTTGGTTCGAACGTTACCTAGTCTTCATATTCACCGGAGGATTCCATATTGCAGCAACTGTGCATTGTATGATTCGTTCCTTGGAAAAATATACATTCATGTATCAACATTAGGTTATGATCAATGTTGTAATTTTCGGATAACATTTGCCAAATAGGTTAGGTGATGTTTAGTTATACAAGCATTCTTGGTAGTATGATCCACGGTGTCTTATGCAGCACAAAAATTAAGCCGGAATCGCATCAGAAGATTTTCGAAAGCAAGTGTACGAAATCTTTAGAGGGGAAAAATAGATCATTATTGTACCAGCCGTTTATGTAAGATCCTAATTTTAAGCCCTATTTCTATATACATGCAATATGCTTTAACATTGAAGTCAAAAACCCTATTGAATTTGGGTACAAAGTGATCAGTCTCAGCAGATGAGTCCGGGGTTAACTCAAAACTACGATCACGTGCTCCGATCAGCACTTCTCCGGACAGGCAATAGAAGCCGATGATATGTCAAAACCCAAATACTTTCGATGCTAATTCTAAAAGGGGTCCCAGAGCGCTCGGGGCAAACTTTCGTGCAAAAAGGAAACAGAGTGAGGTTGGCTGGTTGTTGTAAAGACATGTATCACTTCCGGTCTTCTTGAAAAACTCTTCTGTAATATCTGCTTTGCCGAATGTAGCCGGATGAGCACCGCCTCTCGACCAGTCTACATAGGTAAGGGTCCTGTTTGCCAAAAGCTGCGGGGTCTCGATGCTTAGCATTGTCTGGAAGTAGTGCTCATCCACATAACATGCTGGTCTGCAAAAGTCCTTGAACTTAGGGTAGTAACTTGTGTCTCCAACAATCCTAACTGCAAGTTTCCGATTAATCTCAAACCACTGAGACCCCTTACGCCAATCAGAGAGATTGACCAAAGGAGCCATGCGTCCGTCATAACGTCCTCTCCCATAGGGCCCGATTTCATCAAATGAACCCATGAAGCTGTACCTGGATCTTGATAGGTAGTGATAGACAATGCTCAAGTTGTAGAGAGGAATACATGACTCAGAAAGGAGGATAAACCATTCATTTGAGATGTCAAGCAACGCATTAGCTAGGAGTCTCCTCTCAGCATCGCACATACTCATCTCTCCCCACTCGGCAACCTGAATCATAGAATACAAATGGTCACAGGTCTAAATGCATGAGAACAAGTTCCGAAAATTATGCTTAAGCCACAGAGAAATAGGGATTTCCAAGTAATAAAAGAATTATTCCATTGAACATTCTACATAATCGCGTTTTTCAGTTTCAGTTTCAGACAGAAAGAACGAAGTGCCCGAATCTTGTCAAAGAACTGGCTGACAAGACAGTTTTTAACAACTAACCAAGTTCAAAAACAATGTTCCAACGCTATCAATAAAAAGTGCTAAACAAAGGCAAGAGCAGTGACAGAGAACTGTTCTTTTTTATGTATGAAGGTATAACCAACGGGGGAGACAATTTAGAACCACAACATGTTCCCTATTGATCAATGCACGTGTTATTCAAAGTAGATACTCGCGTTTCGGTACTTAAGCATGGATCAAGGTGGAAGCAAAATGGACGCTGTGCAAGGATGGTCACGGAATGCTCCTAACCAACACCATAGCACGGCAAGAATTGGCAGACGATTTGTGTGAGGATTTTTAGTTGATCATGGTTGGGAAAGTTAATAGCTTACGGATTTAAAACAACATAAGACTAGCAATAAAGATTGCAAAATCATATAGTACAATGGGAAGGTCCAATCCAACATGGGTCGGAAGAGTTCATCTTTCAATACCTTTTAGATGACAAATTCAAATTGACTATTTTTCGACATACAATACAAATTCAAAAGTACGAACCCACAAGAAGAACGCCAAATGAATGAAACAAATTCAATCAAAGCAAATTCATATAAGAAATCTAGCAATAATTATTAGGGTACCTGGCTTGGGATTTGTCTCTTGTAAAACACTGATGTAGATGAGAAATTGGCATTATAAGATGGCAACGAATGAACATAGATCGAATACATCCCCTCGTGTCCTCTAAAAAACCGCTCCCAAAGAGGCTCCATTGGCAATGGTCCCTTTGTCAAGAACATGAAGGCAATTTTTGGAACTCTCTTAAACGGATACTCCTTTATTTGAGTAGTATGTGAAGCAAGCCACAGCAACTCGGTGTCATTCATGGCGTGCAACAGATTAGATGGAGGTCTAATCCGACTTTCTAAACTACTCGGCTCTTCGAAGCAAGGCCTAATGGTGGAAGGTGCTGTTGGAGCCACATGTTGAACACCAAAATACCTAATTGTGTGCATACTCAAAATCGAAACCCCAATACCCAAAAGTACAAACATGACAAGATATTGAACAAGTCGCAACGGCAGGGCCCTGGCATGGCTGGACTTAAATGTACTTGTAGGATCCTTGCTTTCCTCCAGTGCCACCCCCCTTGATTGCATCTTGATTCAAATCTTAATCAAATCGAACTGCCACAAACACAACAAAATTCAAATCATGAGTTATGTAGTTTTCGGAATTTCGGATTGAAAAAAAACACTTTTTTGGATTCAAATCATCACACAAGGACACCCCAAATTTTGAAAAAAAAAAAATCACTTTCCAATGTGAAGCGTGAAGAAAGTTTGGATTTTGGGTTATGGGGTTTCAAATTCGTGGAACAATGGACGCCTATAACGTAACCAAATCCAACAAAGATCGAGATCACATCGCAAAGTCAGGAACAAAAGTACTACTTTCCAAATGGGATATCTCCAAACAACGTAACTTTAATCAACAAAAGGAAAGTTTTGGGATCAAAATTCAAATCACAAAAGCTTGTATTCCCATTTTCCTGGCAAATATGAAAAAACATGTAACATGTTTAGAGAGAGAGAGAGAGGAGAGGGAGAGAGAGAGAATCAAATACCATGTGCGTTGCAAGAAGGAGAACAATATGTGGATGAATCAATGTCGGACACGTTTGAGGAAGCGAAGCAGATCGGTTCACACTTTCCTCACTTCAATTGTTTCTCTCGAGTTTGGGCCGGCTTTCATTCATTTAACGAAGGAATGAAATTTAAAGAGAGAGAGAGAGAGAGAGAGAGAGAGAGAGAGAGAGAGAGAGAGAGAGGTTTAAGGGGCTTTCATTGTTCCTCTGTTTTTGTTTTTGGTTTGTCTTCGTGAGGTGTTATGAAAAGTAAAACTGAAGAAGCATTCAAGAGAGAGAGAGAGAGAGAGAGAGAGAGTGGTAGAAACCCGGAGGAGGGAGGGAGGGTGTGTGTTGGGGATTTTGTTTGTTTGGTTTGATCCTTCGAGCTGGTGCAGAGGTAAATGGAAAATGGAAAAGGAAAGGGAAGGGGAAAGCAAAATTATTTCAATTGCTTCCACTTTCTATGTTTTTACCTTTCAACATTTATTTCACTCGTGATACATTTTATTGAATGGTCTAAAAAATTAACAGAAATATTTTGCATGTAGGAGTCTAATAGTTTTTTTTAATTATTATATTTTATATGTCTGTATCATTGAGTGGAACGTAACTTTATAGTTGCACTCTTTTACATTATTCCATTGTTTTTCTTTATTTTATTTTATTTACATTTTTTTTGCTTTCAGTAAAAACCTTGGGGATTTTTAACAAATTTAAGCACAAACCTTTATGAGATAATATAGTTTGTTTGGTAATTAGTAAATATGGTATGTGGCCCCTACATGTTCACCAACTTTATTGGGGTAATGTTAATGTTTTGATTCATATATTTTTGGAGTTTTTCTTTCTTATAATCTATCCTAATTTTTGGCTTAATTCTTTTTTTAATGATCTAGATGCCGTTAGATTTATAATCGAGCACACAATCATACAAGAATAAAACTAATAACGGTGAAGAATTACAAGTTGCTAACATACACATCTTAATTAGGGAGACATTTAAGACAAGGGTCGATATTCACATCTTAGCAACATGCACATCTTAGTTAGGCAAACAATTTGACTTAACATGTATAACATAGGGCACCTATTTGGAAAATAAATTGACATGTATATCCTAATTAAATTTGACAATTTAACATAGGACCTAGAGTCGAGGTGTAAATCTTTTAAACGCTTGAGCGGTTAGGGCAATTATTAGTCAACTTTAACCTAAAACTAAGAATACAACAAAAGGTATACAACATTAAACCGAAGGAGGACATTGAACTCGAAACATCGTGTATAAAAATAAATGTTGTTAATTAACCGAGCTACAAACCCTCACATGTATTAACTTCAACAGAGATGGCGTTTCCGCTTTGCAGGTGTAAGCAAGGCATTGGCAACAAAATCATAGCATAATGTTTGGTTCTCTATTTTCTCAATCTTTACGAAACGGCCGTCGGAACAACGTGATAGCAATTGGCCGGCCTCCAACTCCAACCTCAACCTTTCGCTTTCATTTTTTGTTGTATGTCCCCCCGTCTTCCCTCTGTTATTAAAACGTATTGACTACCATCGGAATGGATGTTTGTTATCAAAGTCAAAATTCATCAAATATTCCAAAATATTGCTTTGTAATGTCATATACAACAAGGGGTGTGCGGATTACACACATTTTTTTTTACTTTTCACACTCTTGTTAATTTCTATTCTTTAATTTTCTTTAATTTATTCGATCCGACGGTCGCAAATTAAAAGGATGTGTGAAAAGTAGAAAAATGTGTTCGGATAGCATATCCCATACAATAATTGTTGAATACTAAGGGCCCGTTAGATGGGCATTGGATTGGCAGGAACTTGACTACGATATGTTGTCTACTTAACCACCTTCAGGCTTCAGCTCCCATCCACAAGACTGTTACTTACAATGGAATCAAACCCTTATCAACATCCAAACCTGTCTCGCACTGCTACGATGGAGTTCGATCCTACTCACCTCCGCTATAGAATCTCATCAAAATCAATCAATGTTTGAATCATTGTGCAGAGACGAGACCCAGCAGTCATGTCCGAATCATCCTGCAAAGTGTTTGTCACTCACTGCCACACTATCAAACATACAATCATACAATTGGAACACTCAACTCCACAGGGTCTCTGATTATCATGTTCAAGGAAAATTTATGCTTCTGTTTTCATCCAGAGTATCATTACGGATTTCACCAACTCTGTTCCTTGTATATACTCATCGGTTCAATCCCATCTCTACCCTCCAGTCATGTAATGCAAAACCCCACCAACTCTTACAGATTTCAAACTAATGTAAGCGCTCGATAATGCACAGAACATGCTACCACCTGCTTCGTAACCACATTCAAACTTCAAAAGTGAAGTCCTTTACCTTTCATTCAAGAGCATTCCCCTGTTTACATACAACATCAGGAACTGAGTTCTACTCCACATATAGGGTCTCTCACAAAGCTCAATTTTGGAAGGCTGCCGGTTTGGTGCGACCCTAGCTCTTGTACCACCAAGGAGAACCTAATATGAGGAGATGGGTTCCCCTACGAGAAAAGGGTGAAACGGGGATGCCACTGCCTACCTCATAACCACATTCAAACTTCAAATTGAAGTCATTTTTACCTCTTATTAATTACAACAGCTAGAGCTTCGTTGTACACTCGTGGTCTCTTCCAAGTTCAATTTGGAAGGCCTATGCTTTGGTGTGACTCTAGCTCTTCTGAGAAGGATTGAAACGCTGATGCTGTCTTTTTCTATGGTTTAAACTTTAAAGGAGAATGGTTTGAAAGGCTTGTGGGTTTACGGGAGGAGAAGACTACCGAAATCTAAACACATTATCACTTAACTTAAGATTTCTAAACAAAGAAACAACTCCTTAATCTCTTAACTCTCTCGGAAACGAGAATAACAGTAATTTCCAGTAGGATCATACAACGGTAGCACCAGAGATACCAAAACCAATTCTAACGACAGAATAACGAGACATGAGCAAATCATAACTTAAAATAAAGACCAGTACCAGACAATCATGTGGTCAAAAGTAAAACATATCAATAAGCATTCCCGAATCCGGACATCATATACTGCGCTCCTAAAGGGTACAAATTAAACATAACCATAATCTAAACCATTAGTTTGGCTACAAAATGTCATAATCCATACTTCAAAAGAAAATAATGCCTCATAAGAAACCAGTAAAAGTCCTCAAACAGAAACCTTACTTCTCGGAAGAGTTCGGCCCCCTCTTCTTCCCAAACCCGACAACTGCAAATCGAACAAAAATCACAATCAGTACCACCCAAATTACCAACATTGGCCTCCCCAAGTCACATGCTTAAAACAAACATTTTTACCCATAGCTACAGCACAACAATGTCAGGATTAAAAACCAATGTCAAATTTCAACACCCAGAGACTTCAATCGAACTAATTTATCAAATCCAAAGAAATCCAAATCCCAAAAAATCATGAAATAATTAACGTGTGCAAGTGAGACTGATGAGCTTACCCGCCGTGACGAATCTCCTGTTGTACTGCAGCCTCTTGTGCGCGCGGCCTCTGGGTTTTTTCTTCTTGTCTTGCTTGGCCACCTTCGGAGTCTGACCTCTAACCTTCCCGGCACGTGCGAGCGAACCGTGAACCTTGCCTGCAGACCAACTCACCCAGCGTCACAGACCAATCACAAATCGCGAAAATCCATACAAAAAAGGGAAAAAGTAAGATCAGGATCTCATACCCATGGCTGACCGTTGATGCTGATGCTGATGCTACTGCTGCTGCTGCTCTGTGTGTTAAGAGCGCTTCTCTTTGCGAGTTAGGGTTTCGGCAGAGGAGGAGACGTGGCACCATTTATGGTTAAGGTCGTTCTGTAGCGTGACCGACGTTTCTGAACGACGTCGTATGGTTGAGCAAACTCCATAGTTTATTTATTCATTATTACCTAGATTATCTCCAATAGTTAGGCTAAAAGTCAAATTTTTTAGCTCAAAAACAGTTTTTCTGCTCTAACTGTTCTGGACTAAAATTTTAATCCAAAATTATTAAAGAATGAACTAAGGCTATTTTTTTTTAAATTAAATTTAAAAAAAATTAATATGTAGACTACTGTAAATTAATTTTATGAACATTTTAATCTAAAAATATTTAAATTCCGATAAATATTGAAAAATCACTAAATTTTCCACAAAGCAAGCCTTCAACTTTCACCAATCTTTCAACCCTGTGGTAACTTTCAATTCACCAACCATTCAACACCAAATTTTCTACATTAAAGTGTGGAATAATAAGTACAATAATTATTGAAAGCATCTAGATTAATAGAAACAATAATTAATAAGACATAAATTTAATAAAGTACATAAACCACATAAGTATTTATAGAGTTTTTGGGTGAATTTTGAGTTAAATAATTTTTTTTAATTATTTCAGCCGTTGGATCAACGGTCCTTAAACCCCAGCCATTGGATGTCAATTATAGTCGTTGGGATGATGATGTTGGTCGACAACCAGCTGACTATGGGGCCCACCCCTGTCTGGAAAGCATTGCAGGCCTAGTGCGCGGGGCACGCACGAGTGTGGGCGAGGCCAAGAATGGCCCAAGTTCCAACGAGTCCACTCGCAGGGGGGAATTTGGGGAGGAGGGGGGTAGGGTATTTGGCCCAACTTTGGCATTTGGCTTAGATTGGAGTGGGTTTTTTTTTGTGGTGGGGGGGGGGGGGGGGAATAGGGGGGAATTTGGCTTTTAACCCCATTGTTGGAGATGGTCCTAGAGGTCTAATTTAAGTTTAATTATTCATTTTCCCTAAAACAAAAGCACCATATCACTTCAACTGAAAAATCGTCACTAAATCTGATTTGTGCCTCCCATTCAGGGTGTTTTCAATTAGATCACAACTGTTTGATATGGGAAAGTTCTTGTGAGCTCTTATTAAGTAAAATAAGTTATGACGTTTAAATACTCAAAATTACTTTTACCCCTTTGGTATCACGTCAATGGAGACTACAAAGATTGACCAATGTGAGAAATGAATATTATTTCTTGAGGAGTAAGTTACGAGTGTTTATCAATGCTTGAACATATATTTTTAGGATAAAGGTAAATGATTACCAAAACAACAAACTTAAACATAGAGAGGCTTAATTACAACATTAAGCTCAAAACATAGAGATGGACCCTGAAACCAATCCCAAACAAATCCCAACAACAATATTTGGAGCCTAAAACAACAACTTCTATGGTTGCGGCTGGACTTTTTCAACACCAAAGAAGAGGTAGAAGTCTCGACAGAAGATTTGTAAAGGATGGTTTTGTCACATTCTACCCGAGCCATCAATAAGCATCATCCTCAAGTGAACAAAGAGGGGGACAACTCATGACCCACAAACTAAGGCCATCTCCAACCGAAAGGTCCAGAGGGCTAGAGGGCCGAAAATAGCCCGAAAACCATCTCCAACCGAGGGCTAGGCCAGATGGCTCATGGAATCTAAGAGGGCACCTTGGAATCTGAAAGGGTTGGAGGGCTGGTTGCCAGAAAACTAATTAATCTTGTCGGTTATAACCAACAGGAATTCTTAAAAAGAATTTTGAATCCAACGGCTAGCTGGCGCCAGTAACCGTTGGATTCAAAATTATCATTATTTTTTTTCGTTTTTTTTTGTTTTTTTAGGTTTTTTGGGGCTCTCTCTTTTTTTTTTTTAAATTCTATTTTTTCCCTATAAATACCTAAACCATTCCTCACAAAAATTTCACCATTCCTACACCATTTCAATTCTCATATTTTCCTTCCTCTTTCAAAAATCTATCCTTCAATTTTTTTTAATAATTTTGAAATGGCCTCGTTTGCATGAAAGGTAGGGCTTAGACCTGAAAAGAAGATAAAGCTCTTTGCAAGGCTTATAGATGAGTGTCGGAAGATAATGTGAGGGGGAATTGTTAAACAAATGACGGTGTTTGGACTCGTGTGTCCAAAAAATACTTAGAGTTCTATGAAGGCACCACTCCAGTGAATATTCGAAACCACGAAACTTGTTCCTCAAGATGGAAGAAACATCTTCAGCCAAATTTGAACAAATGGCATCAAGTATTGTTAGCAGCTGCAAGTAGACATGAAAGCGGGCCTAATTACTACGACGAAGTAAGTGTTTTCACAATTTATTTTAAATATTTAATTATATTACATTTAATTTCATAAATTAATTTACTTTAATTTTTTTCCAGGTACGCCAAGCGGAGGAATTGTATATGGACAATAGCTCGAAACCCTTTCAGTTTCACAGTTGTTGGGAAATTTGTAAAGGGTGAGTGTTATTTGAAGATCCACCACAGAGAGCTTCTACGCCGGTGCTTGGAACTGCATCCTTGGTTGTAGATATGGATGACGATGGATCTCCAACCATTCAACAAACAAGGGTAGAAAATCCGTCTTTGGGTGAAGGTTCCATACCCAGGGTTATGGGACGAAACAAGGTGCGAAGGTTGAAGGAAAAGGGCAAGGCAAATGATGATTACGCCGCTCAACATGAAGTGGCGGTCTCATTGCGATTATTGGTGGAGCAAAATATCCTTGAGGTGGAAGAAAGGAAGTGTAGGCATGAAGAATGGGCCAAACAAATACAAGAAGAGATGGATGATAAGAATATGAAAAGGAACATTTCGAATTACACTCCAATAAGTGAGACCTATTTTGATAGGAAAAAAAAAAGAAATTATGGGCCGACGGCAGTTGTTTACCTCTAACTATACTCCTACGATGGCGGATGATGAAGATGATGTTGATTATGAATATTAAATTTAAGTTGTTGTAGTTTTTAAATTTAAGTTAATGTTGTTTTCGATTTTAATTTGTAGTTTTTAAATTTAATTTGTTGTTTTTAAATTTTGGTTGTAGTTTTTAAATATAAGTTGTAGTTTTTAAATTTACGTTGTTTTTAAATTTAAGTTGTTGTAGTTTTTAAATTTAAATAATAAATTATGTTTGGTCCTATGACTCTCAGTTGAAAACGGTTTTTTATGACAGGGCTAAAACGAGCCCTCTAGCCCTTTGACCCTCGGTTGGAGACAGATGCAAATATGAACCCGTATTGTTCATTAAAATATTAATATTTTTGAGGATCATAACTAAAACAAAACCTCTGGCCAGCGCTCGATTGGAGATGGCCTATGAACTCGTCACCGTAAACGTGAGACCGAAGAAGGGCACTAGCAGCAAACAAAGAGAAGAAAACAGCAAAACCATTAGAACTGCGAGATGTAATATTTGCTTAAGGGAAAGGAGGGTGGCGGGGAAGTAAATGGGAGAAAAGGAAGTAGATGCAGAAAATTGATGGGAATATGGAAATGATGGGTTGAAAGGCAGGAGCTTCAAAGTTGGTATTGGAGTTTGAAAAGCAGAAAAACCGAAGAAAAGAAGAAATCAACAGAGAAAAGCCGGCGGAGACGCCGGATGCCCAAGCCGCCGACTCTCAAAATGGCAAATAGAAAGAAAGCAAACCAGATATAAGAAGAAGGAAAAAGGAAAGAGCTCTCACAAAGGGAGAGAAAAGATGTCACAAACGAGAGAATTAATTAGTTTGAACATTTTTTAGTTTTAAAATTCTAGTATATTATTAATACAAGTGATGAAATAAAAATTTAGTATATCTTCTGACGAGTTAGAAAGGTCAAAAATTCAAATTGAGACCGGCATAGAGTTTCAACTTCTATACATGTAAATAAGCCTATAATAAGGGCTGGTTTTGTATTGTTGTGTTTTGAAAAAAATTACTTTTGTTATGCTATGAGAATAAGCAGCTGTGAAATAAAGCAGCAGAGTGTTTGGTAAATTTTTTTGCAAAAGTGCTTTTGAAAAAAAAAAGCAGTATTATAGTATTTGGTAAACTTTTATGTAAAACAAATGTGAAAAAAAAACCGATTTTTCAAAACTTGGTTTTGCAGCTTCTTATTTTTGGTTGCTGAATGTTTACAAAACACAAAAATAATTCTCAACTTTTTTAATACCAACTTTTTTTTAGAATCATCAAGTACCAAACCAGCCTAAACCTAATCCATAATTAGGGGTGGTTCGGTATGGGATCCCATACCGAAACCCTTGTCCCGATTCCCAAACCGAAATTTTTGGGAATCCCAAATTCAATACCAATCCCAAACCAAATTTTTAGGAATCCCAATTTTCGGGAATCCCGAAATGTTTTTAGGCTTTTGGACTAAAATTTGACATATTATGTTTTTGGGCTAAAATTTGACATATTATGCTTTTAGGCCCAAACTGCGAATTTGTTATTTCTACCAATTTGCCCACTGCCCATTGCACAAATTTGATATAATTTCATAAATTAAGTTTCAATCTACCCACTACCCATTTGTGCACAAAGTTTCAATAATAACAAAGTTTCAATCTGCCCACTACACATGCATCATGCATGCAATAAAAATAAATTAGGTACCAAACCCAAAAGCAAAAATAATAGTTACAAGCCAAGGTTTTAAAATAAATAAAGTAACAAACTCAAGCAAAAATAGTAGTTACAAGCCAAGGTTTTAAAATAAATAAAGTAACAAACCCAAAATCAAAAAAAATAGTTATGAGCCAAAGTTTCAATAATTAAGTTACAAACCAAAAGCTAAAAAGCAAAGCTTAAAGTCTATAAATATTGTTGGCCTCTTCGACCCCTTCGTCCCCTAGATCTTGTTGATGCTTGTGGTTGCTCCCTTTTTGTTGGTACTTGTACTCTTCCCCTTGATGTTGATGGTTGAGCCCTTCCCCTTGCAATGGGTGGTCGTGGAGGTAGTGATTGATTTTGACGTTGTTGAACTTCAACTTGGAGTGGTCGAGGAGGTGGAGGTGGCATTTCATTTTCTTGTGTTGTATTCTCCTCACCTCCCAAATTAGCCGTGCCTAAAATAATAAACCACAAATCATTTACATTGAATTATAGTCTAATAGATAATAAATACTAAGAAAATAAAAGAGGAAATTAAATTGTTTACTTACTTCTTTCTAAGCGTTCAAGCTCCTTGTAGAAATGGAATTCGTCAAGTGTAGGCTCCTTGTAGAAACAAAATTTTTTTCCTCTAAGCCAATCACTAGTACACACTAAAGCCTCAACCGTTTTAGGTGTTAAGGAAGTTCTAAAAGGATCAACAACTCTCCCACCAAGACTAAAGGCATTCTCACTAGCAACGGTGCTACTAGGAAGGGCCAAAACATCCTTAGCAACTTTACTAAGAGTTGGATATCGAGCACAATTTCCTTTCCACCAATCCAAAAGATTGAAACCCTCATATGTTAGGCTTTGATGTGGATCATTGAAGTACATATCCACTTCATTGGCTATCTCATTTTGTTGTGCCTCCGCTCTCTTTCGTTGGATCTTCTTTGTCATCTTTGAAGCAACATCAATATCTACAATCACACCCCCCACATCATCTAGTACAACACTTGATCTTTGCTCCACATTTAAGGTAGCACTACTACTAGTACTACTAGTACTACTAGTACTACTACTACTAAGGACCACTCCCTCCTTGTATGCATTATAGAACTCGGTTACATAGCTTTTAATCCTTACTTTCTCCTCCCTTATTTTGTCTCATCCATAGCCGAGCTCTTCTAGATTTGTCTCCAACATATCAAATTTGTACCTAGGGTCGAGTACTTGGGCTACAAAGAGAATAGGATTCACCTTTTCAATGTGACCCCAATATTTGTCAAACTTGAGCTTCATTGAGGTAGCCACACTTTGCAAAGTGGCATTAGAGGTGTTTAAAATTTGTTCTTGTATCTCCACTTGCAAGGCAATCACTGTGCTAAGTATTTAGTGTGACGTTGGAGTAAGGGTTGCACTCAATGTCAAGGTGGCATCATAAAACTTTTTAAGAAAGTGAGCAAAACTCATCGACCTTTCCCAATCATCCACCTCCGGAGGACCCACCCGCTTGGTCTTTGTTGTCACCCCATCAACCTCTTTCGAGACCTCCTCTTTAAAGTAAGCAATAAAAGAGTCACACTCAAAGGCCATCTTAGAGAACACTTCTTTAAACTTGAAAGCACTATTAAGCATCTCATATGTGGCATTCCACCTTGTGACAACATCAAAAGGGATACTTGACATCCTATCAAATCTCAACAAGGCACAATATTCCCTAAAAGACTCCAACCTTGCCGGGGATAAGTGTATAAACTTCACACAATTTCTTATGGCATCAATTTCACACCTAAGCTCCGTCATTCCATCCTTAACTATCAAATTGAGGATGTGACAAGCGCACCTCATGTGCAAGTGAGCCTCGTCAAGTAAAAGAGTACCATTTGACTTGAGTCTTCTTTTCATGTATGCAATGGCGGTGTCATTTGCACTAGCATTGTCAACGGTAATGCTAAACACCTTGTCAATGCCCCAATCATTCAAGCAAACCTCTAGACATCTTCCAATATCATCACCCTTATGAGAAGTAACTTGGACAAAGTTTAGGATCCTCTTATGCAACCCCCAATTAGTGTCCAAAAAATGGGCCGTGATGACCATGTAGTTTATCATTTGAATTGAGGTCCAAGTGTCGGTTGTAATACTCACTCTCAACCCCTCAATCACACTTTTTATTTTAGCCTTCTCTTCAACATACAACTCCAAAACCGCCGCTACCACCTTATGCCTATTAGGAAGTTTGTATTCTGGATTCAAATCACGAATAAAATCTTGAAAGTCTTCTTGATCAACCACCCTAAAAGGCATCTCCGCTATTATAATCCACCTCACACATCTACTATCAAGTCTTTTTTGATTGAAAGTGTGAGTGACAACCGGACCTCTCATCCTCGCTTGTGTCAATGTAGGTTACTTCGGATCCACATTCTCAAAGAGACTAGAACCCGGGCATTTCCTCAAATGCTTAAGAATTCCCGTCGTCCCATGAATTATAGGGTGTGCCGGTACTAAGAGTTTGCAATGCTTGCATTCGGCCATGAAAGATTTCTCCCCATTATTATCGGTGATCGTTACCCTCTTAGCATCATTCCACGCCGGACTTGGGCCCTTTCTCCTATTGCCCTTTTTCCAAGGAGGACCCTCCCATTGTCTCACTACTTCTTCTTCTTCTACTTCCTCTTCCCCCTCTTCCCCCTCTTCCTCATCTTCTTCTATTTGTTCTAATGCAATATCCTCCTCCATATCCGGATCATCATCCCAACAATCTTCATAATAATCATTATGCAAATAATCTTGAGGTGAGGGAGTGCCTAGTTGAAGGGTACCACTAGGTTGGGTTTGTTTTCGTTTTCCTAATACCGAGACCATAGGTGTACTAGATTGGCTACTAGACCCGCCCATCCTAACAAATAAAATAACAATGCACATTAATATATCACAACCACAGTTCAGCATATATCCAAATTCTAATCAATAAATAAAATAAATGGTTCAAAAATCTGAGCATTCAACATAGAAAATATATGGTTGTGAGAAAAATAACTCAAAATATATAACAGAAATCAAAAGAAATCTGCCTATTCAACGGAACAAACCAAAACCCTCGAGTCTCCTACTCAGCAACACACACATAAATCACCTTGCAACACACACATAAATCACCTTTCCGCTTTTGCAGTAGGCTGACACACATTTCATATATTTCAATTGCTTTGAAATTAAGTCGAAAACTTACACGCCCGGTTTCCCCACACTAAAACGATGATCCTATGGGATGCTCATCAGTCATAAAGCCAGAAACTCCCAAAAATGGCAGAAACAGATAACGAATAGCATTTGGCAACACACACAATTCCACAGAAACTGACGTTCATCAAATTCCTTCACAAATTTCAACTACTTTTCAAAGAAAAAGCAATCGGATCATTATAATTTACAATGTCAACCAACAACCAACTTCAAACATTAATTAAGAACACAACAAACATACATTTTAAACTAAAACTTCATCGTCAACCCAAAAACCAAAGCCTTAAATCTCAATCCATGTAATCTCTCCTTTCAAGAAAAAAAACCCTATTCGTATTTCTACATTTCACAGAAGAAAACACCAATCTTTATTTGTTTAGAGAGAGAGAGAGAGAGAGAGAGAGAGAGAGAGAGAGAGAGAGAGAGAGAGAGAGAGAGAGAGAATTACCCGAGAGAGAGAGAGATCGCAACTCGCAAGTCAGAGACGATTCGAAGGAAGGCAAGCTGGGTGGTGATTCTGGTGAAGCCGTGAAGGAAGGCTGGTGGCAGTGGCACGCGCACAGCGGCTACGTTTTCAACTTCAAGCTCACAGACAAATTGAAATGGGTGATTCTGGTGAAGCCATGAAGGAAGGCTGGTTGAAGTATGGAACGGAAGTGAAAATTGAAATGGGGGATCTAACCTAAAAACAAATGTACGGCACAGATTAAATCTAAAACAATGAACGGTTGAAATAATTCTCTTATAATTAAAAAATAATATATATATATATATATAATATTTATTTCGATTCGGTATGGGAATACTGAAAAAATGGAGATGCAATACCGAATTCCATACCGAAAATTTCAGGAATTTTGGTTTGAGATTTTTTTGGTTTGGGATCGGGATTTTTTCGGTTTCATTTGGGATTTTTGGGAGTTTATTCCAGCTAGGGCTGGAAAAAAATCCCAAAAATCCCAAACCAAACCGAAAAAATCCCGATCCCAAACCAAAAAAATCCCAAACCAAAATTCCCGAAATTTTCGGTATGTAATCCCGAACCAAACCGAAATTTTCGGTATGGGATTCGGTATTCCATCTCCAATTTTTCGGTATTCCCATACCGAATTGAAATAAATATTATATATATATATTATTTTTTTATTATAAGAAAATTATTTCAACCGTTCATTGTTTTAGATTTAATCTGTGCCGTTCATTTGTTTTTAGGTTAGATGACTTAGAAGTCTCAGATAGTTAGATCCCCTTTCAATTTTCCCGTTCGATTGCCTTCCAGGCTTCCAGCAGCCTTCCTTCACGGTCCGGCATTCAAAATTACAGTGACAGTGCTCTGCGAAATTGGCAACTAAGACAAGGTATGCTCTGTCGAAATTGGCAAAATGACAGCGGCATTCATTTGTTTTGTAGTTTAGAAGAATTTCAATATAGTTCTTTCATGCATGCATTGTTGTTGTTTATAGTTCTATCATGTGAAAAACTTGAAGCTAAGCGTATAAACTGGAGATTTGATTCGCCTAGCAGCAGATCCTTCAAAGTTTTTGCTCCAAATCTTAAGGATTTGAAATGGACTGGGAGTTTGTTGAATAACCAAAATCTTGGGAATTTTATGTGCTTAGAAACAGCTGAAATTTTTCTGAACCATGAGGCAGATAACAATGACTTTGGCAATGTACTTGAGCTTCTTTGCAGTATCCGCAGGGTTAAAGTCCTTATTCTTATTTTTGAAATCAATGCATGAGTTCTGGAAATGGGTTGCCCTTGGCTCAAGCCGCTCAACTTTGTTTGTCTTTTTTACTTATAGTGTTCTGGATGCTCTGCATCTTCTATTTCAAGACTCTGCCTCTCATCTTTATAAATCAAATCTCCAGGTTGTTTTTGTTTTATGCATTCGAAAGAAAAACAATGCATGCATTTTGATTCATGACAGTGATATGTCAAATTTTAGCCCAAAAACATAATATGTCAAATTTTAGTCCAAAAGCCCAAAAGCATTTCGGGATTCCCGATTTGTCCCGAAATCCCGAAATTATTTCGGGATTCCCGAAAATTGGGATTCCCGAAAATTTGGTTTGGGATTGGGATTGAATTTGGGATTCCCAAAAATTTCGGTTTGGGAATCGGGACAATGGTTTCGGTATGGGATCCCATACCGAACCACCCCTAATTCCAGCCCTACCATAATCTGCATGTCGAGAGTGGAATACCCAGAATGCCGTCTATCCCCAAACGATAACCGTCGTCTTTCTCTTTCCCTCCGAGACACAGACTGTACCAGCAGCAAGACTATCCCCAGCAAAAATGGTGAACGTGCCGAGTCACGGACTGAGGCACGTGAGCGCCATTCGCCCGTGGCTCCCCACCTTCCGTCGCTCCACCTCCCTGGCCTCTCTCTCCTCCCCTTACACCGAAGACTCGGAGCATGCCCAGCCCAAAAGCGGCGACAAGCCCAACTCGTACTTTCCGAAGCGAGGGCAGACTCTGGAGCTGGTGTGCGAGTCTCTGGCTTTCAAAGGGAAAGGTCTATGCAAGGTGGCAGAGACTGGGTTCGTCGTCATGTGCGACCGCGCGCTGCCCGGCGAGCGGTTCGTAGGGAGGGTTACTCGCCGGAAAGGGACCTATGCTGAGGTACGGGTTCTGGGTTCTCTTTGGTTACCGAGAAAATTTTGGGATGGAGTGGGAAAATTGAATCATTGGGTTTTGCTTATGTGATGATTTTGCTGGTATCATTTGGTTCCGAAAATTGATAACGTGAAGTGGTCTTTATCTGTTTGCTGATTTTTGTGGACAAATTGGGGTGAATTCTAGCTTTTAAATCATTATTTTTTTTCCCGAAATTGTTGGGTTAACTTTTGAGACAAATGTGATTGGAGTAGTGAATTAGTCCAGCTTAATGATCTGTTTAAGTAAGTCCTTGTACAAATTGCTAAACCGAATGAAGAAGTAGATCACATGAGAATGCCGAAAGGAATAAAACAAGGGTAAAAGAGATGAGTTGAGGCATTGCTAAGTCTGGAGGTTGTTGTGACCGATGTTGAGGCTTGGACGAGAAAAACAAATGACGTTATCCAACGACATTTCGTTGCTAGAACTAGAAGTTTCAGCTGTATACAACTTGAGACATTACATGCTACCTGTATTGGTTTTGAATTTTATGTGATTGCCCTTACACAATTCATAGTCTAGTGCGTGTGATGGAAGCTATCATTCATTTCAAGAACTTTGCAAGACAATAAAAATATCTTTTTCTTGGGTCAAAAATGCAGGTGACAAAGGTTGAGACAATTTCTCCTCCTTGGGACTTTGTGGACGCTCCTTGTGAGTATGCTTCTTACTGTGGAGGATGTAAAACACAAAATTTGATTTATGAGGCGCAAGTCAAAGCTAAGGAGCAGCAAGTTCATGAGTTGATTATAAACTTTGGAAAGTTTTCTCACACAGAACTGGAATCTTTAAGCATCATGAAGCCCATCGTTCCCTGTGAAATCCAGTTTCATTACAGGAATAAGGCTAGTGCATACTGTGAACCTTGTTAAATTTGAATGTTCATTCAGTTTCGGTACATACAATTTCTGTAATACTTTCCTCTTGTTTTTATCACATCAGAAAACAGTTACTCAATTTAGCTAACACAACCTACTTGCTCTTTGTCATTTGACACCTTTTAAGAATCAAAGTATCAGAGTACTCTTCTGGTGTAGTGTATACATATATGCATATTCTTAATTTTACCCGGAAATCCACTGTAAAATAAATTTCTAAGAATCTGTAAATCCTGTGTAGTTTGTAATTATTATTTTGTATTTTATCGAGGTGTATTAATGTTAAAAAGTAGTTTTTGATATTTTCTGGCATTTTTGCAGATGGAGTTCTCATTTGGTTCTCAAAAATGGTTACCCAAGGAAAAATTGATGGAGAGACAAGATGGAATTGAGAACTATGCCCTGGGATTGCATGCTCCTGGATTCTTCGATAAGGTTCTCAATGTTGACAAGTGCTTATTGCAAAGTGAGCCGGCGAATATGGTATTTCCTGTGTAATTTTGTTTTCTGAGTTCTTTGTGCTATTAAACGCAGAAACCATACACCACCTTTGGATTTGTTCTCACCTTGAGACTCCTTACCTTGCATATACCATTAAACTCAGGATCCCTTTTTCCAGCTCTTTTATATTTTTATATTGTCACTTGACTACTGCATGGTGCCTAAAGTTGGCGTTTAATTATATGAAAAATCACTATTATGAGTTGGTAATGTTGAGACCTAAATGTTGCACTAGAGCCTATTACCATATCACGTTCATGAAGAGGTTTTGGAAATAATTGCCTTCCTATAACGTAACTCTCAACAATTGGAATTTATGTGATTAATACCTGTAAAAAGATAATGTAGTTTTGTAAGATTTATTCCATTGTATCTTGCTAGCATAATGTTAAAATAGTAATTTGTATGTGGGCACAAACCCAGAGTAATTCCCAATCAAGGATTCCTTGTCCTGTTTTGCTGTATGTGTTAAAAAGTCTCCACATTGTCAAGCCAGCAGGTTGTAATTTGTAACATTGTCCGTGATGTCACAACTTATCTTTTTCGTCTACCCTATTGCCAGTTTATTTTAGTAGTGTCAGGAAATTGTACTATTTTGCACCAATGACTTCCATTGCTGATGTGCAGGTTCTTGCTGTAGTCCAAGACTGTTGGAGAGATCCACAATTAGGTCTCTCTCCTTATGACGTTTACTCTCATGTTGGATTTCTTAAGCATCTAATGCTAAGAACTGGAAGGTACTGTGAGCTATATTGATGTCCGTAATTTATTATCCTTATAAATGCACATATGTGAATGTGTGTAAGAAAGCTGTAACTTGTTCTCAACTTGCAAATTATGGTTCCTGTGCAGCTGTGAGTTTGCTCATCCGTAAGCATGTTGTAGTTTTCATACTCACAAAAGAAGCCACAGATATGCATGAATCTACCGACTTATGAATCGTTTTCCATAATTCACTAATAACTTTTCATACGAAGTGGTAGGAAGAAAGTATGGAGAAATAAACGAGAAAATACAAAGATTGAAAAATGAGTCCGGGTTATGAACAGGTATTCGTACCTTTGAAACCTTTATGTGGCTAAACGAGATAGTCTGGGAAAATATCAAGTTTTGGAAAATAGTTGGAAATGTTGAACATGCACTGTTTAGTTGTCAACTCAACCCACCGTCATGTAGTCAAACAAACAAATGAAGAATGGAAATTCTTTATCTCTCTTTGAGTACATATTTTGGAGGCCTAAAATTGTAGATGTCTTACAAGAAGACGTAGTTGAAAACTAGTTCAAAAATGAGAAACCAGACAATAAAATATCCCACATAAGTTGTCATGATAGCTTGAGCATTTCTGTAGTTTACTTGTAATTTGTGCACAAATTTGATCATCGTACAGTGATTTGATTATATGTTGTCCCCTGTGAGCTCATGAATCAAATTTTCATAGTAAGCAATGTCTTTGATTGTGTTCCAGGAATGCGGAGACTGGTCTTCCTGAACTTATGGTTAATTTTGTGACTTCATCTAACAAGCCAGAGCTGCTTAAGCCTCTTCTTGAAAAGATATCAGCTATCCCTGAAGTGGTTAGTATGGCCATTTCTATTTTAATTGGTTCCGGAGTATAACCTGAAGAAGTATCTGGAGAAGATTATCATCTACCCCAGCTTCTCAACCTAAACTGAATTAATTGATACACATAAATTTTTTGTGTCATTGCATATTTTCTATTGTCGTCTATTGGGTACCCCCACATATTTACTTCTATGGTTGTTTAGCTACAACACCAAATTAGATACCTAGAACATTTGCAGCCTTTCATTTTAGCAATCTCCTAAAAAGCTGTTTCTGACGGTCAAGTTTCCAATTCTAGCTACTTTTTGTTAAAAAGAAAAGAGATAGAAAAATTTAGGTGAAAATGTTGTGCATTTTACTCCTAATTGTGTTTGCATTTGTTCTTACTATTATTTATTTGTTTTCTACTCATCATTTTGTATTAGTTTTGAATTACTTATTTTTATTTATCTCTTAAATCATCTTTTTTATGACTGATAGGTAAGTGTCATGAACAATATAAATAGTTCTGTTGGTAACACATCTCTTGGGGAGGTGGAATACAATTTGTATGGAAAATCCAGCATCACGGAGAACTTAAGGGGGCTAACATTTCAAATATCAGCAAACTCATTCTTCCAAACAAATACTCACCAGGCATGTAATGTGACAAAAGTTTAGCCCCTCATCCGCCGATGCTTACTTTCAACTCATTTTATTTTATAGTTAAATTCTTGAGGTTTTCCTGGTGAATACTAACTGTGAAATTAAATGCTAATTTTTTTAAATGCTTAGGCAGAGGTTCTATATAAACTCATAGAAGATTGTGCTGGTCTCAGAGGAGATGGCTCAGAGATTGTTCTTGACCTGTTTTGTGGAACCGGCACCATTGGGTTGACACTTGCCAGAAGGTAATTCTCGAATTTTCATTTGTTTTACATTTCTTGTTAAAATCTGACGTTGTGGTTGCCTTTTGGTGCAGGGCCAAACATGTTTATGGATATGAAATAATTCCTCAAGCCATTGCAGATGCTTGTCTAAATGCCGAGCTGAATGGTATCCAGAATGCCACATTTGTCCAAGGGGATCTTAACAAAATTGATGAAAGTTTTGGGAAAAATTTTCCTAAGCCCGACATAGTTATTTCAGGTTTTTTTCTTTTCTTGATCCTATAATTCATCTAGCTTCACTAATCTCTTGGACCTAATAATAAGCATTCTGTTCTTAAAATGATTTTGAAGAGTAGGTCTCCGACCCATGAGTGTTTTGGTTATTGGATAACAAATGATTACAAATATTATAGGCTTCTAGTTAAAATTTTGTTTTCAATCTGTTTTTATGTCCGAATTGTATCGTTAGGTTGAAATATGTCTAACATGGCTTAGATTTCATAAGTTGATTTTTGTTTAACAGAAGGAAAAAGAAAGGTTAATTGCTGCTTAATTTCATATAACTAACTTTTAATGAGAACGTACATCAGTTTGCCTCTTACCGTGTTTGATGTGTTGAATCATACAGATCCAAACCGTCCAGGAATGCACATGAAGTTGATAAGATATCTTCTAAAGCTTAAGGCGCCACGGATAGTTTATGTATCGTGTAATCCTGCCACATGTGCACGTGACCTTGATTATCTCTGTCATGGTGTGGTATGTGTCTCCTCTTTCACCCTTATTAATTAAGACTTTATTTGATACTCAGTTGTATGACCCACTGAAAATTTTATGCAGACTGAGAAAGGTATAGAAGGCTGTTATAAGCTAAAGAGCGTACAGCCAGTAGACATGTTCCCTCACACTCCTCATATCGAGTGTGTTTGCCTTTTGGAGCTTCGTTGACCCCCGGCCAGTTTCGGTTGTGATCTTCATGCCAAAGGTTCAGAATTCTCTTTGCCTTGTTCACTTACGGTACATTTGAATGGAACTTTATTTCCGACGGTCCTGTTATTTTAGTGTGTTTTGAAACACCTGCTCGAAATGTTTGTTCCAGGATTTTAAAAGCTTTGCCAGGGAACTGTGGTAACAGTTGTGAAAGGGTTAATTTTTATGAAGTTCGTCCCACTCGGAGTAAATTACACCCCACCCTACCAAAAATTGGCTCTCTCCACTCTAGCGGCTCCCAAGACAGCCAGTTTCTAACCCGCACACGATCGATGGAAATGAATGAAACATTATAGCCCGCCCCTAGGAAATTGATGGTTCAGCACTTGGTAATGGCGGTGGTGATGGCCGTGGTACCGGTGGTAGTGGAGGTGGTGTTGATCGTGGCGGCGGAAAGTTTTTATATATTTTGTTTTGCTTCTTCGTAAATCTTTTGCTGAAATTTAGGAAGGACAACTATTTAGATGAAATAGTGCAAAACTGTGAAAATAACTTGGGGGATTACATTGTTCAGTTAGGGGATTGAGTCATTTTACTCACTATATTTTTACATGAGGCATGTTTTAATTAATTTTTAATAGGATAATGCTATTTACACTTATTTTTTTATGTCTCACACATCCTTGTTAATTTTTGGCCATTTATATTTTTCAATTCTTTAGATGTGCCTGACACAAATTGAGAAATGCGTGTGACAAGTAAAATTGGGTATGTGGATGACACTACCATTTTTTAAACAATAAAACATGTGTTTAAAATAGAATAGTGTTATTCACACATCTATTTTCATCTCTCACACCCTTGTTAATTTTGGGCATTGATCTTCTTCATTGTAATTTTATACATCGATTAGTTAAACCATCAATTTGATTCTTAAGTGATGACGCGGAAAATATAAGGCCTACATATTATGATGACGTGACAATGAAAATAATTAAATATTAAAAAATCAATATAAGAAAAAAAAACCGTTTCTTCCGATTTTTCTTCTTTCTCGACCCACCTGGCCATAATGGAGCTCAAGCAGAGAATCCTCACCTCCCTATCGTAACTCTCCAGCCCGAAGACACGTATGAAATCGCCTGCTCGCATTGATCTCTGCTTCCCACCCCGATTTCACATCCACCTCTTTGATCAAAATCATTGCCCACATTGAGATGGGGGTCGACCTTGTCGGCACCGTCAATCATGAGATCAAGAACAGGATGCGAATCGAGGTCCCGCAACGAAATTCCAAGAGACGGGAGAGTTGTTGTGGAGGGAGAGGTGGGTGAGGTTAGGCATGTTGTGCTGGTCTCTTCAGCTCCCTTCGCGTTTTGTCGACTCGCAGAACCGAAACAACCGATTCCGAGACGTTTCGTCGGCGAGCTTGTTGCAGAGAATTCGACTGCAGCATGACTCGGCTGAGTCCTGCCCCGTTATCCTGCACCTAGGCACGTTTCTTCCAACGACGCTCAGTTAGGCTCGTTTTCGGAGAAAAACAAAGTTCAGGCGCCGAGTTTCGTTTAGTTTATCACCTAATAGCGTGTCAAAGTTGTGGTGGTGATGCTCTTTGGCTCTGGCTCTCTCTTATGCGGACCGTATCGTGATGTCGGTGGCGATTATGCCATTATCTTCTGGGCTTTCTGGGATTTTGGGATGGTGGCTGAAACTAAATGAGGCCTAAAGAGAATTTCAGGGAGCAAGTCAAGAATTTTGGTAATGACGAGTTATTATTTTTTGTCTGCTTATAGAATGGAGAAGTTAAATTTGAGAAGCTTAAGACGCCAGATCAAAATCTTGGGCAGTCTTGGTTGAGAATTTCTACAATAATTTCTTTTGATTGTTGAAATTGGTACTAGACGGAATATCCAAATAAAAATGTAACTTTGCACAGTAAACTAGCCAAATGAGTTAGTCAACTAGTTACAAGTTAGTCAGTGATAGAAAGTGCAGTAGCAAGAACAAATCTTGGTTGACCAATACGACCAACTACTCAGAGTTTGCCCAGATCAGTTTCACAACACCAAATCCTAAACTTGAACACATTTACATGTCAGTTCATTATGACAAAGCAATTATGAATTAAAGTATGTTGGATTGACTAGTGATGCGAACTAAGTAAGCACACAAATTAAAACCCTCTTGTGACAATTGTAGTATATGAATAAGTAGGGATCGTTCTTAACCGAGGATTAGGAGGGATTGCAAAATCACTTGGACACTGACTCAAAAACGTAAAACAAACGTTAAAAACACTAAACTAGACTCAAAGAATGCAAAACTAAACAATAAAACACTAAAACAAATAAAAAGACTCAAAGAATACAAAACGCTTATAAACACAAACTAAGACACTTTCTAACTAAATTGGACACTAAAGTAAAGGGGGATTGAGGTTTTGACGAAATTAAACTAAATGCAACGATTGTAATTTAAAGGCAGAATGTAAATATGAATGTGATGAAATATGGAATGAATGCTAGCTAGAAGGTTCTTCTCCACACATGTCACACTTGCATACACTTTGATTTTCAGTTGGTCTTTCGATGAATTATAAATACTCAACGCCCCAAGTTAACTGTGAATTGCACTAATTAACCCTCAGTTTTTCCACAAGTTATTAAGTTGGATGATTGCATACGACAACCCAAAACATTCCCTACAAGTTCCCTACATGAATTGCATAATAGAGATACAAGCAAGAATCATTAAGTTCTATGAAAAACATAAGCATTGACGAAGCATTCGTTACTATGAATTGCATGAAACTTATGCTAAGAATTCATTCAACGCGATCGTTTTCAAGCGACCTTTACTACTTGTGATTATAAGATTGTAACTATTAGGTGAAACTCCCTCATAATCTAGCATCATATTCATGCATGAAAACTAAGCGTGCACTCTCAATCAACATACACAAATACGTTATCAATCAAATAGATGAACAAATTGAATCCACAACTTATGAAATTCCAACCAAAAGTAATCAATTTATATTGCAAGCATAAACATGGTTTCGAATCACCCCCTAGCTAACTAGGGGGATTTAGCCTCTCATAGTCACAAAAAGAGAAATACAATTAAATTTAAACATTAAGCACAAAGGATTGATTACACCTAGAACGCCCAACGAATCCACGTGAATTGGTGCACGTCGAAGCTCCTCTTTCCTCTTCTCCTTCTGCGGCAAGGTTGTGGGGTGGTGTAGGAAGGTGTGTAAGGTGGTGGAGAAGGTGGAAGAAGGCACGGCAAAGATGGGAATTGGCTGCAATGGCTTGGTTTGGAATGGAAGGGAGAGTGCACGGATTATGGAAGGAAAATGGAAGCAAAATGTAGATGGTGGCGGCTGGATGGTTTTTGCACGGATTAGGTTATGGTGGTGGCTAGAGGAATAGAATAATGGGATCTTAGGGTGATGGAATGGATGCGGCAGATTGGAATAATGGGAGAATATGGCTGAACGGTTTTGGGACCAAATATGCGGCTGGAATAAAAAATAGTCAAAGTGTTGCGGCTGTTTATTGTGAATTAGGGTTATATGGTTGAATAGAAAAATATAGGAAACAAATGGTTGCATGCGGCTGATGTTTGAATTATGGGATATGGAATTAATGGGGAAAACAATTATGGCTATATGGGGGCCACGGTGATAGGAGCATATTCATGCGACTTAATTAGCTTGTTCTCGTGCATTTATGTTGTGTTTACTTAGTTGTTTTAGTGTTTAAGGCCACTTTTGTGTATTTTCAGATTATAAGGCCAAAGTGTGCAAGAAGATGCAAAATGGAGTCTTTTGGAGCGAAAGAGGAACGAATGAGTTGAAGACTTGAAGAAACGACAAAAGCCTACTCCAACGATGAATTCTTACCAAAACGAGGAATCCTACTCAAACAAGGTTTCCTATTTTAGGAAAGTTAACCCTAAGTTTCCTGTTTTGGTAACCTTTCCTAAACTTAAACGTCCGTATTTTCTAGCCACTTTATAGGCCTCGTATGCACTTTAGGACACAAAACCAAGGCCCTAGCCCTATTTCCCTTCCTAGCCGCACCTTTATATTTATGTTTTAATTTCCTATTTTCGTAAGCCTTTGATTTAATTTTAAATAAGCTAGGGTTAATTTTCTGAAACCCTACACATTTTTACAACCTAGCCGCACCTAATATTCACCCTAATTCTCCCATATTCATCCATCCGCAGCCACCTGCACCCATTTTGCATCTCTGCCCGTGGCCCCCCCCATTAATTCCACCCTAATTTCATTCTAAGCCGTCACCCCCCATTGATTCATGCATTTTATTTTATTCAGCCATTAACATTTTATTCAGCCAAAACCATTCACACCCTTATTCCTCCATATTAAAAACCTAAAACAATTAAAAACCACCCATAAAAATCTGCCGCAACATCCCACAATTCCCATTATTGCCGTGGGATCCCATATTGATTCCAGCCCCTTCCATTCCATAACCTAATTCATCCCATTTTTATTAAATCTGCCGCAGCCACCAATTCCTTCCCATCATTCCAAAACAGCCACCATATTCCAATATCCCACCAAGCCGTGCCTTTTCAATTCCAGCCGCAAGCCACTTCCACAGATTTTCATAACCTGCCGCAGCCTTCCACCACATTCTCCCTCCATTCCACACCTCCTCCATCACTCCACCACCTTGCCGCACCACCACACTACCTTAAACCCATTCCCAAACCAGAAAATCAACTAAAAACACCATTTAACCTCACTGTCGCAGCAAGGAGAAGAGGAAAGAGGAGCTTCGACGCGCAGAAATTCAAGTGGATTCATTGGGCGTTCTAGGTGTAATCCATCCTTTGTTCTTTATGTTTAAATTCAATTGTATTTTTCTTGTTGTGAACATGAGAGGCTAAATCCCCCTAGTTAGCTAGGGGGTGATTCGAAACCATGTTTATGCTTGCAATATGAATTGATTACTTTTGGTTGGAATTTCATGAATGTTGGATTCAATTCGTTTAACTGTTTGATTGATAACTTGTTTGTGTATGTTTATTGAGAGTGCACGCTTAATATTCATACATGAATTTGACGCTAGAATATAAGTGAGTTTCACCTAATAGTTATGAACTTATATTCACAAGTAGTGGAGGTTGCTTATAAACAATCGCGTTAAATGAATTCTTGGCACTAGTTTCATGCTCATCATAGTAACGAATGCCTCGTCGACACTTATAGTTTTCATGATGCTTAATGATCTTTGATTGTATCTTTATTGTGCTTTTCACGTAAAGGACTTTTGGAGAATGTTTTGAATTGCGTTGCGCTAACCCATCCAATTCACTAACTTAAGGAAAACTTGACGGTTAATTTAAGCGGACCTAATTAACTCGGGGTGTTGAGTTTCATAATTTATCGAAAGACCAACTGAAAATCAAAGTGTATGCAAGTGTGACATGTGTGGAGAAGAACCTTCTAGCTAGCATTCATTCCATATTTTCATCACATTCATTTTTACATTCTGCCTTTAAATTACAATCGTTGCATTTAGTTTAATTTCGTCAAAACCTCAATCCCCCTTTACTTTAGTGTCCAATTT